AGACAACAAGTCCCATGATCCCACTCTGCTTCATCAAACTTGGTCTTTTGATACTGTTTGAGACCTCCTACTCACAGAAATGATATACGTGTGAACTATTTCTGGATGGTGACTCGGGCAAAACAGGCGACTGCCTTCGGGTAACTTTGTAGTAACTTGGTTGTATGTTTGGATTGCTTTATTCCAGGTTTGTTGTGAGATTGGGTTAAGATTTATTATCTGCATATTTTTTATGTTATCATTCCTAAATAGTGTTTCCAATCCAGATTATCCACACAGCAGAGCCTGGGGCTTTGGTGTAGTATTCAGCCGATCAAAGAAGTCAGGGGGGTGCGACATTCATCCGCCACAGAGATGGGGTCCTTCTGTAGTCTTCTTTATTTCTCCCAACTGATTACTCAAAACCATTCAGCTGACCGCCTTCCATCTGCATTGTCACAGGTTTTATTCACTCATTCATGTCATGTTTTCCTTTCATTTGTCACAATCATACATGTTTTAATCGTTTTGGATCTACTGGCAGAAACTGTGGAATATGTACGCGTTCAACATTCATTTCACATTTTAACATAATATTCTTATTATATAATTATCCTTTATATTGCTTTAATTACATTTTATCCATGTTATACCTCTGCTGCTATAATGTTTGCTATTTAGCTCTTTATCTTTCCAAATTTCATCTTTATATGTCCTTCTATGATAATATTAGTTATTTTTTCACTGAAGTGGGCTTTTAGTTTGTCGCTATTTGTTGTGCAACTACCTACATTTCAAAATATGACACTCATATGCGAATAAATAACATATTTACATTATTTATATTTTGTATGGCTCCTCTCAGTTTAGATTCAAGCACATTTTTGGATATCCCTAAGATATCGATTACTTTAGACTGTATTTTTGCTCCTGCGGTTGCTGCTTTCCCCCCTCATTCCCCCACATTCTGCTAAATGATTCTGGGTGTAATTGCGTATTTATATGTCATTCTTTGGGCGATACTGACTTACATTTTCCAGTGAAATGCCTTCTTTCTATCAATATTTGTTCTGCAGCGACCGAATTTATTCTCGTGGAGTTTCAACTTGAAGTGAAAACTCACAATTAAACAACCGACGGCAGCAGTGCAAAGGAATGCAGAAAACATGCAAGAATGCATGCACAAAATATGCACGTATGCACGAAGCATGCCCTCAACCATAACAACAGTGCATCACATTTTAAGATGCACGTCACCATTCTTACATTTTCACTGTTAATTCTGGAGAGAGATAGGGAGAGAGAGAGGAAGAGAGAGCGAGAGAGAGAGAGAGAGAGAGAAGGCGCTATTTTTAGTCTCCAATGCGCGACTATTACCTTCTGTCTCCAACGGTTTGTTTCGGTTCATTCTCTGTGTCAAATGAGCACTTGACTCCGCAATAAGAATATATGAGGGGAAGAGATGTGGGAAAGACCAAATTGTTGCTATATTGGACCATCCACCGGTGCAGCTGCTCTATTTTTAGCTGGGAACTACATCAGACTGCAGACACTGCGAGGGGAAATCACCAGCGCTGTTCTGCTGCTGTCTTCACCCAACAACCACTGACAGTGTGTGTGTGTGTGTGTGTGTGTGTGCAAGAGGAGACAGAAAGTATTGTCAAATGATTGTGTGTGTGTGTGTGTTGTGTGTGTGTGTGTGTTGTTGACTGCTTGCTGATCCTCGTGGTGAGGTGTTCTGACTATCATCGAGCGCAAGCGTGAGCCTTCATGTGAGTCCTGTTAGAGCGCAGGATCACCGGTGACCCGGTCTGAGACACCGCAGGTGGTCCGCGAGAGACAGAGAGAGAGAGAGAGAGAGAGAGAAAGAGAGGCTTGCTGCACATTGGTCGGGCTACTTTTCTGACGACACACCAACAATCGTCAACCTGTGGATAGGACGCGCGCGGTGCTCTGCTGTCTCCACTGCCACCCTCTCCCCTCTGACACCGAGCCCGACATCCAGGACGCATGAACTGGGAGAGGGTGCCGGTTCGATTCCCGAGCGGAGGAGAGCAGCCGAAAAGTTGAGGGGGTCGTGCGCCATCATCCCCGCTTCATGAATGGCCGGAACATGGAGGAGGTGCCATTCGAAAGAGTCAAGACCCGGCGGAGGAAGGGTCACTGCCCGGCCGGTGCACCCCTGGGCGCCATCGCCTGCGAGGACGAGTTCAACAGCCAGGAGCTGGAGGCTCTCTTCCAGAACTACAACCTGAAGCTGGAGCAGACCGCCACCCTCAAAGCGCTGGCGGTGCTCATCGTGGCCGCGTCGTCGCTGTCCCTGGTGGAGCTGCTGTCCAGCCCGCGTCTCACCTTGTCCAAGGGCTCCTACCCGGTGCACTGCGTGGTGTTCCTGTCGCTGTTCATCGTCACCAACGTCAAATACCTGCAGGTGACGCAGCTGCAGCAGATAGCGAAGCTGGCCCTGCTGTTCAGCTTCACCTTTGCGCTGCTCTGCTGCCCGTTCCCGCTGGCGCTCGGCACGTCGGAGCTGGTGAGCGCCGGTGCCCCTGAGCAAGGCGTGTGGCAGCTCATGCTGGTCACCCTCGTGGCTTACGTGCTGCTGCCGGTGCGGACGCTGCTGGCTGTGTTGTTCGGGGTGATGCTGGCTGCATCCCACTTCATTGTCATAGCGACGTCGGTCACGGGAAGGAAACAGAGGCTGTGGAGACCGGTAAGTTCTGCACCTGCATCCCGGTCTACTGCCTTATGCTTCAGTTCTTCCACAGTTTTTTGGGGTTGTTTTGCACTTAAGCCATCATCATATCAAACAGCTGATAGGTTGAGGCCCCCTTTACACTCAAAAACTACAGTCAAAGTACTGGGAATCTCCCAGCTGGGCTATGAAGTAACTGTATGAATGTAAAGCGGTGCTGAGAAACAGCAAAACAGCATACTCAAGCGACTTCCCCAGTAGAGGAACGGGTTAAAAACACCCCCCAGGGATCGACTGTAGCTGCAGCACACTGGAGCTGTAGAACTGGAAACGAGCAGAAAGTTTCACTTTAGCGCAGCGCTGTGATGAAGCAGACCGGGAGCTGTCCAGCTGCCGGTGCTGAAACAGGCGGCGAGGGTCCTGCAGAGCCACATCAACGAGTTAGTGCTGATCCTTAACTTGTCCTTGTGCCCCAGATTGCAGAGACATAGTGTTTTTAGTATTTAGGACATGTATTGCACACACTAACATCTTCTCTAATATGGTTTCTGAGATATTTCTGGTCCTATAAGACAGTGGTTCCCAGCCTTTCTGACTTGTGCCCCCTAAAATGAAGTCCACTCCTCAGATTACAAAGATCACTGGGTAGAGAGCAGTTCAACCATACACTAACTCTTTATTCTCAAATTGTTTTATTTTTATTTAGGATGTAAAATCATCCAGCAATCCATTAAGATTAGGAAAAAGTCAGAAAAACAAATTGAATTTTGTGTATCTGAAATATTTTCTGCTTTTCAATCCTGTGACCCTCTCCAGGACTCAGATTAGTTCCACAGATTGACTTCAGTGGTAGTAAAGCATTAAAGCCGTGGTTCCTAACATGTCTGGCTTGTGAAAACGAAGCAATGTCTGTTCTAACCACACATCAGATACGATAATCTTTTTCTGTATATTATTTTTAGAGGAAATGTTGCCCAGTAATTGAGTAGAAAAATGGCAGAAATTAGAGAGAAAGGTCTAAAAAAATAACAATTTCACAACCTTTCAGTTTTATTTGCGACCTCTCTAAGCCCCCTCGGTTGCAGCCTCTGCACTATAGCTTCTTTTGGTTTTGCTCATTAGTTACAGTATGAGCTGGAGTGAAGTCTGTTTACGAGGTGGTGTCATCATAAAGAGAACATGGATCATCCATCTGGCTGTGCTGGATTAGACTGTTTCTATGACTTTTCACCTCTGACCTTTTTAGGAATTGACGACACAGAGAGGCTGCAGAGTTCATCATCCAAATGAAGTGTCCAGCACGATCGATAGTCTCTGATTATTAACCAATAATGCACTTCAGTCAGTGTCGCTTTTGTTCTTTAAGTCACACCTATAGGATTCATGTTGTAACCACTGCTGACCTTGATGTCTGCCGTTCAATCCATCTCATGGATTAATCAAGGATTGTGAAGGTCTAATCTAGCCAGGATGTATGCTTGCGCACAGAGAAACGCACATATGGACACGTGTGTTCCTCCAGGATCACATGCACACACAGTTTGCAGGAGCTGCCAGCTTTGTTTGACATGTCTGTTCTTGTTTGTGTGCAGCTGGTGGCCAACACGGTGCTGTTCACCAGCGTCAACTTGTCGGGGGTGTTTGTGAGGATTCTCACCGAGCGCACCCAGAGGAAAGTCTTCCTGCAGGCCCGCAACTGCATCGAGGAGAGGCTGAGGCTGGAGGATGAGAACGAGAAGCAGGTGAGGCACAGATGGATAGAAAAACAGCAGACATCCACACATTTCACCTCGTCTCCAGCGCGTATGTTCGCGAAATCTTCACAGTCTCTTGAGAAGTTTTTTTTTAAAGGTTTCAGGTGCCAATGTATTCTAACAACCTGCCCACAGGCACGCAGTAACTATGACAGCAGCTATTTAAGGAAAGAACAATTACTGTGGCACATGCGCCAGCGCCACACATTCCCACCCCCACTGCGCACACCTACATGTAGCGATTTAACAAAGGAGCAATCAGGCAACTTTAACACACAGAAACACTTTGTTATGCGCCGCACACTCCTCACCCGCCAATGTGCACGAAAAACCCACATACACCAGTTGTTAAACAGAGAATTAATTATCCCATGTATGTAACATGCCACTATACACGTATCACCTTCGTTATACACAACATTCGCGAGCGCACACGCACACGCACACTTAGCACCTGTGCTTTGTAGATTAGATGATGATGTGCTGTGTTTTCCCCAGCAGTAACAGGCTCCCTTCTGACAGGTAATTACACAAGCAGATTGCTTTCATGGCCTCCCCACTCCAGTAAAGGTCACAGTTCATCTGGGTGAGTGAAACACGCACAGACCCCCTGATTGGGAACTATCAACAGCCGGCCAACAGCCAGCAACCAGGCCGCTTATGTGCCCACGAACAAACGTCTCTGATTTGAATGTTCGCCCCCCCCCATCAAACGGACCTCCGGTTATCACTCGGGTGTTTGCTCGGGTTTTCGCTTTGAGCCGGATCTATAGGTTGTATTGATTCCTGAACATGCGTACGCTATGTGCTGTAAGTCTGGGTGGTAAATTGACTTCTCAGTTCAATAGCAATCTCAGAACCCAGAAGCAGTGCGTGGTGTCCTCAAGTGACGCGTTCAGGAACGCTGTTTGCGGCAAAAACACAGTAAAGTACAGCCTCTGCTCCCAAAACACCTAAACCCCTAAAGAACAAAACCATGTTCATCTCAATCCCAACACAAGGTAAACTTATTATGAAATTCCCTCAGTTGTCATGGAGACCGATCTGTTGAGGAGCCCAGTGGTTGTTAGGGCTTCTTCCATAGCAAGTTGAGGGCTTCTTGATCTTGGAAATAGTAGTTTGACTAAAGAAAGTCCCACCTTAAGGCCCATTTACAAGCTTTTTCCGGGCTTTTCGGCCGCTTTTGCTACAAATTCATCTCTGGGACAACTGAGCAAACTCCATGGATGAAAGCTCCAGGAAAAAAAAAGGTAGTATGTGGACCTTGAGTTGGGATTGCTTTGTCAAACTACCATTTCCATTAAATCCAATCTTATTTGATCTGCTAACTTAAGGAGTGGCTAAGTTAAAGCGACTTAAATGACTTGGTCAAGGATTATGGAAAGGTCAAAGGTCACGTCCAACCATCCACCTGGACCTAGAGATTTTGTATAATAACTTCATACTTCTGTCTTCATTATTCAGACATCCAAAAAGTCAAGAAAATATAAACATAGATCTTAACTTAAGGTCCAGTTTCTAGCCCTTCCAGAGCTTTAGCCACATCTCACAGTCTTTGTGTTGCTCAGTTGATATCATGTGACTTAGGTTTGGAACTTGAGTCATCCATCTTTCTTTCCATCAGTTTTCTGCTTAGTGAGTGAACCTTAAATAAAGATATTTTCATGCTTAAAGAAAGAAGGGTTAAAACAAATGTTCGAACAAACAACCACTGCTGTCATTTCTCTGGTGAGGAATCACTCAAACATTAACCACACGGTCAAAGTTTGATACAGTTTGGTCACCCAAGCACCCAGAAACCCCAGTGACATTGGACCAAGCAACAAGAGTATGTTCCCAGTGTTCTGTACATTTATATGTTAGTTTTCTAATGATATGTCCAACATAAATGATCAGGAATTGGCTCTATCAGAGTTAGGTATCCTCTGGCTGCATTAAATGGACAGTGCTAAGTCTAAGCAAAGTCTAGACTGGATGTAAGTGATTGTCCTGCTGGTTATGTCGGAGTATTGCAGTCTGGGATTCATATGCACTGTGATGAACTCTTCATTAGCTTTATGAATAATGTGATTTATCAGTTAAAGGTGTGAGGAAACAGGATGTTCTATAAATAGTGTGTCAAGTTAGAAAGACATAACTGTAGCTCTTCCTGACTATTTGTGCTAGCGTTGAATAAGGGCGTGAAGGCTGTCCTATAGACCAAACTTGCTTTGAGGCAGATATGATGAGGTATGCAGTTAGACGCGCTCCATATTGTAGTCCACAGAAAGACAACAGAATTGATTTCATTTTAAAATAAGGTATGCTTTACACGACCACCCCAATAGCCTGCTATATCTACAATAAAAACAAAATGGGGGCTCCATGCGCTATAATACAGAGTTTTCATATTAAGATTTTCCTAAAGAAATATAATAAAGAAAAATTTTGTCTGTTTCATCTTCTATCTGAGAGTAAGCCTAAAGTCGTCCAGACTAAACATTTAATCATTTTCCTCTTTGTACAAACAAGTTGGATTCCAAATTGTTACATTTTTGTGGGAATTTCCCCTCCTTGTTAATCTGGAGGACGGGAAACCTTCATGTTAATGTGGGAGAAAGTGAGCCGGTGGTTCATTAATAAACCACAATGAGGAGAACCGTAGTCAAACAGAGCACACAGTGAATTAAACCAGGGGCACATCAGAGAAATGGAAATCACTCCTGTGCAATTATAACATGTTCAGTGAAGAGAAATGGAAGTGATTAATAAAGCAGGTAAATAAATTATGTTATTAAAACAACCACATCTACACACTTTGGTTATAGTGATTTATACACGGGTGCGTAGAAGTGCAAAGACACAAACACATCCCGGGTTCACACTCGGCCTCCATCAGTAAGTGTGATGGCTGTTTCTAAAAGCTGCTCTCCTGTTTTTTTTTGTATCTGCAGGTGAGGAGCAGTTGTGTGAATGGATGTATAATGTGAAACAGTGTTGGAGGGAGACACAGGAGAGCCCCGGCTGCTTTCATAACCCTGTCTCTCAACAGCTATTCAGCAGAGCTGCCTGATGATTCATTGTGCATTCACAACCATTTGACACCTTGCTAGAGTTGTACTTTGTGCTGCTGCAACTGAGACAATTCACACACAACAAAAACACACTGATCTGTGTAGACACTACAGTACCTCGGCTGCCTGCTGCTGAAGAGATTAAGTTAATCAACCGATTTGACGGAAAATTCATTTACTTTTTATTTAATCTGTTAATGTTTTAAAGTTGTACATTCCTTTGAGGACCCAGAATCCCTATTGGATGATTCTGCACCTCATGATTTACAAGTGTTTCTTTTATATAGTGAGACGGGAGGTGAAGGTGTGTAAGTTAGTTGATGGGCTGGATTCATTTGGAACCAGAGTCTGCGCAGTAGTGATCTGGGTTGGAGCCGCTGTATCGAGGTCCCGCCCACACGACTCTATCGCGAGCTTCCTTTTTTATAGCATCAAATAACTAATTTAAACCAGCTGTTTGCAGATCGCAACTTTCCCGCTTTACCCTCTCTTTCCAAGCACGAAGGGGGAACTACAGGGGCACATGTAGAGCCAGTGTTTGGTTTGTCCCTTCTGGGCTACTGTAGAGTCATGGCGGACTACACTGCAAGCAGCCACACGGGGGTGGTTGAGATGTTTTGGCTTTGTGGCGATGTTGTTCTATCTTTATATACAGTCAGTGATTGTTATGCAGAAGGGTGGAGGGTCTGCAGATAAAGTTTACTGCCTAACATAAGTTATTTGCCCTAACGGACAATCCTTAACTGCACCATAGTTGCTAGTGTAATAAAAGCCACGGTAGCTTCCTCAAATTGTTTTGTCCGACCAACAAACAAAAACCCAAAGTGATTTAGTTTATGATCAGACAAGAAAAACAGCAAATCTTCATAATTAAACAGCTGGAGCCAGGTAATGTTTTGCATTTGAGCTGATCGCTTTATTGATTATCAGAATAATTAGTGATTAATTGATAAATCTTTGCAGTGAGTAATGGTTTTAGCTGTAATCGAGAGTGTTGATGTTTAAACCAGAGTAAACAGTTTATATTTATTTCCTTGAATCCAAACACACACATTGTGTACATCTATGTCCTCCCAGTTTAAAGTTAAAGTTAACGCTGCCTCCTCTCCTGTCCTACAACCTCCCTCCGCAGGAGCGTCTGCTAATGAGCCTACTGCCCAGGAACGTTGCCATGGAGATGAAGGAGGACTTCCTGAAGCCGCCTGAGCGGATCTTTCACAAGATCTACATCCAACGTCATGACAATGTCAGGTACGGGGGTGTCATGACAACTGTGGACCGCAGAGGTATGCGGAGGGGCTGGAGTGTTTTGATCCAGGTGTCACCTGCTGTGACGTCAAGGTCAAGAATAGAAGGGGAGCCATTAAGATCAGCCATTAAGACAGATGCAATCAAACTACGTAAAGGTTAGAAAGAGGAGAGGGGACAGAGCACAGCAGTAGATTAGAAAATGTTCATTTCCTCTGCCTTTGTTGTTTTGGAGACAAAGCAGTGACTGATGAGCCAAAAGGAGGTATTTTCTTTCTAGAATAGTAACTCGAGGTCCACTTACTTATCTTTCCGCTGAATCTCATCAGTGGGATTATCAGCAAGATGCAGATGACTATTTCCAAGCTTAAGAATGAACTTTATTGCTCAGGTATTTTTTTTTTATTGTGACCAAATGGTGTGACATTTGTATGTCTATGAAGCTGACATTTTACCAGCAAAAGTTTTCCACTTTTACCAAAATGCTTGAATGAAACAGGCTCTTTGTGGTATTATAGTGACTTTCAACTTATTGTTTAGCTGTTAAATCACAGCTTTACTGTCTCGGTTCACGCTCCCTGCTCTCATACCGTTGTTTTCAGCTGCAGCAGAGAGAAAGTTAGTGACTAGCTGGAGCATTTAGTAGCTAAAGAGCAAGATATTTCCCTCAGGGGTTAGGAGAGACCCAAACTCAATATGCTTTCTACTAGGGTCGCCTGTGTTGACATTTTGAAGATGGTTAAATGATAATAACCGACAACCGGCAACCGATAAACAGTCACAAGTTAGAACAAAAAATTTATACAAGCTAGTTAGCTCACATTTTGCTAATATTAGCTAGCTAACTTGAGATATGTCACTTTCATCCTTTAACAAGCTTCAAGCACAGAGCAAAATAGGGGTGGGTCAATAGATGATAATATTGTGTAATAATGTTTGTTTCTGATGCCCCCAAGAGGCCAAAAATCTGTTGCAATATTGCATTGCAATATTAATGACAAACTCCTCCCACATGATTCTTGTTTTCTTGGATTCATCACAAGCTAATGTCCTTTTCAGATGAGAATGACCATCTGGCCCCTAATGTTGCTATCATGACTGCAGACTCTAGATACTAACATTAGACTGGAGGAAACGTCACTGGCACTTGTGTCTGACAAGTAGATTACTGTCTAAGAAGTGTCCATAACACAGTAGAGGAATATAAAAGTGACGCTGTTCACAATGATATAAAATGTTTATTAGATTACACCTTGTGGATTAATTGGATGGTGGATTAATCAAGCAGTGCAACGATTAGTTGATTAATCGATTTCTGACAGAGAGCAAATCATTTAAATGATTTAACATAGACAAAAGACAAACACTTCCTGTTCCCAGGACCTCAAAGACTTGCTGTTTTTCTCTGTTTTATATAATTGTAAATTGAATATTTTGGACTATTGATCAGCGATTTGAAGACGCCACTTTGGGTTCTGGGGAATTGTGATCACCATTTATCTCTAATTCCTGACATCTCTTAAATAGATCGATCAATTAATCAACAATTTTGCTAATAGATTAACTGTCAATGTTATTAATAAAGAAAGGTTCTAGTTTGGCTGATTTATCCCAGGTTTTATTGTAGGTTGAATCTCTGGGTTTTTGACTGTCGATCACACACACAAAAAAAGGAAGCAATTTGAGGACGCTCCCTTTGGTTCTGAAAAGTAGTGACAGGCATTTATTTATTTATTTTCTCCCATGCATAATTTTTTGCAGCCCTGTCCCTGTAAATGTCCTCAGCCTTTTCAGCAGCCACCTCTATTGCACTCGTAATGAAGAAAATATTACAGAGCGTGAGAACCTGGCCTGACTTTGAGCTGATTGCATTGCGACGAGGCAGTAAAGAGAAGCAGAGAGCTTGCTAGTCAGTGCAGTTGAAGTGTGGGAGTGGGGAATAGGTACCGGCCATGTCAACAGCACTGCCCTGTCCAAGAGACCAATGCCTCCTCCACTCTCCTGTCTCTCTTTTTTTCCCTCTCTGTCTGGTCTGTCTGTCTGTCTGTCTGTCTGTCTGTCTGTCTGTCTGTCTGTCTGTCTGTCTGTCTTCTCGGCTCCCACACTCAGCCACGGCTCGGGAACATCACCGCCTGTTCGCCAGCCTCGCTGGCACTCAGCCAAACATCACGCTGCTGCACCCAGTGAGCCAGCTCCCGCCCGTCTCCAGGGAGCTGCCACAAACACACACACGTAAACACATGGCGGTGAAGAAAAAAAAAAACACCCCAAACATGAGTTTTATTTTGCCGAGCAGGGGCGTGACATCTCCCTGATCTGGCCCCCCTTTGATGTGGCCCCGAGAACGTTTGATCGCATACCTATTTAGCTCTGCTCTCCTTCTCCCCCACACACCCCCGCCTCCTGTCTCCCCCTCTGCCCTCCTCTCGCCTTATCCTCCTCACCCACCCCACACTGGCACGACCTGCAGTACAGCGCCATTCAAAGACACATCACACAACAGAGCTCTTGAGTCGAGCAGCAGTCGTGATCCCGGCTTTACATACATCAGGCCCCTGAGCGACTATACTGCGCTGCCAAAAAAGAGCAACTCAGTCACGATGCAGAGGAAGGGCCCTCTTCGTGCAGCTAGAGCTGGGTATCGAACCTTTGAACCTTAGCACTTACTGGGTAAAGACCAAACTGTTGACCTAGCAAAGAGTGTCGAAATACTGGAAGCTGGGACTGACCGTCTGGTTGTTCTCTGATCAGAAATCTCCTGAGTTAAAGCAAAAGTCTGACCATTTTAAACCATTTTATTGAAGCAAACTTCATGTTTAGACCTCTCGTGGGCCGTGTGAATTATGACTCTTGTCCAACAGCAAAAGTAGGGTTAGTGCTACAAAACCTCCCATGGAAGATAATAAAAAGAACTTTAAACAAGTGGCTGCCTCAAGCTAATTAACCTTTATCCATTGTGGAGAAAGATCAGAAAACAAGCATACAAATTGAGCAGGATTCATCATCTGGGACCTTGAATGCAGGGGTGGATCTAGGATGTATTTTAAATCAGGGGCCACAAAGGGGCCAGATGTTACACAGCGGGGGCCGGCTCTATGTTTGTGTGCGCAGTCATAGATCTTAAGTCCCTTCCATGGTTTCTAGTGCAGGTCCAGTCCAATAGTTTCAAGGTAGATTTCTTTGATTTGGATTTCACAGGTGAAATCAATCAAATCACCCAATGAAGTGCTCTGAAGTGAACAAGGGTACTTCAGGGGGAAATCAAATTTCAGCTGGGGCCAATGCCCCCATGGCCCCGCTCTGGATCCACCCGTGAATGAATGTCAGTACAAATTTTCATCCAACAGCAACTTACAGACCTACAAACCCACCAGCACTTACAAACCCAGCCGAGAGCCACTAGTGTGCCTGAAAACAACCAAAAGCAGCCGATTGAGCCTTAAAGTTCATTCTCTCATAATTTTCTCCCAGAGCTTTTAAACGCATCTCACAGTCTTATAGTCCGATAGGCTTGAACAGTTGTCATGGAAATGGCTCATATAGGTCAACTGGAGTATCTCCATCCGCAGAGGAAGACGATAATGTACGATGATAATTCTGGAAAAAGCTATTAGTGAGTTAAAATGGATTATTATTTTATTTAATATGTCAAAATCCTATTCATTAATTTTAGTAGCAGACATTTATAAAGACCCTTCTAGGGACGGGACATTGGAAATTAGCTGTAGCTATAATTTTGAATTTTTTTCTATTTAAACAGAAATAAGTAACTGTTGTTCTGCTGTTTGGAGCGTCAGATCAGAAAATGCATAATTGTGTTATTTTGGGCAAGTAAATGAGAAATAAAGAAGTTTGTTCTTAAGAGTTTTGTTACGTTTTTTTCAATAAAAACACTGTATCTGTGCACTGTAACATTTTGAGTGATACCCAGCTCTACACAGCGCTCCAGCTCTGATGCCTTTACTCCCTTGGGAGCTGGGATTTTTTTTTCTTTTTGGACTGAGAGTCAATAAGATCCATAACACCTTGTTTTGTTGCCATCTGGCCTGCCTCTAAGCAAATGAATGAGGGGCTAAGTAGCTTTCAACACCTTCCTCATCCCCACTACAGCAGCTAGCCAGCAGCAGGCAATTTAGCTCTGTAATTGATTTAGTGGTTGGCCTAAAAGACGCTTTCACTTATCAGGGATTGGATTATGGCACTCGCTGCTTCGGTTTTGATCGCCATTAGCCAATTTCTCGGTGAACTGTGGGTATTTTGTGTCAGAATGGGGAGAAAAATACTAGTCCATGCTGTGCACTTAACACCTCATCTGTTTTTGTGTAGTATGAACTGCAGAGTCCTGGAGAACACAAGGAGGCAAAATATTTAAAATCATCTGTCATGACAAGTTAATAATCTGTCTTCCCTTGTCTCTCTTCTGGCAGCATCCTGTTTGCAGACATTGTGGGTTTCACCAGCTTGGCTTCTCAGTGTACTGCTCAGGAACTGGTCAAGCTGCTCAACGAACTCTTTGGGAAGTTTGATGAGCTGGCTACAGTAAGTGCTCCTCACCTCCTCTGTCATGTCCAGAAAACTTTTTAAGTTAATTCATTCAGTTTTGTCTCGTGTCCTATGTGTCTTGTGATGTTCCTGTTTTATTTTGGTTCCACTTTCCTGTCTGGTCTCTTGTCACTAGTTTACTTTCTCCCTTTTGTCTGTTTGTCCCGTCCTTGGGATGACCTGTCTCCGCCCTGATTGTTTCCACCTGTGCCCTTACACTTGTGTGGTGTATATATATCCGTGCTCCCTTTGTCCTGTGCCAGTTCGTCTGTCCCATGTGTCAGAGAACCAGTGCTTTTATCCATGACACTGCCATTTGTCAGGTCCTTGTTGTTTTGTCCTTTGTTGTTAGAGATTTTCCTGTTGTTTTCTTAGTCGTAGTATTTCCGTCGCCAAAGAGTGATTTTTCTGTTTGTTTTTCTTAGTCCGTAGTATTTCCTCGCAAAGAGTGGTTTTTTTGTTGTAATTATAAAAACCTTTAATTTTTTAACTTTGTCTGTGAGTTGTTGATTTGGGTTCTGGTCCATAGTTCAGTCGTGACTCGTGACATCCTCCACTGCCAACCCCCACAGTTCTCATGCTTCATAAAGAGAATGATGACCTGAAGAAATTATGTGCTCAGTGTGATCAGCCTGCATCAAAATCTCTACTGCGTAACACAGTTTTAGTTAAATGATAATAATTGATGGGCAGAGGTGGGAAGCAACTAGTACTTCATTAGCTTCTTTTACTTTTTACTTTTACCTGACACATATATCTAATATATAATGTATATAAATGTTCCTCTTTGGAAAAAGCATAAAAATCTACATTTAAAACTAGTGTTAACTAGCAGTGGTTTGCCATTACCCGTGTTGTTGTTTACTTATTTACTTATTGTTTTTAAAATCAGACACTGGCTGAGTCTGGCCTAGCATACTGCAAAGTAGATTGATTGTAAAGTATATTTTCATACTGCATACTATAAAGCAGGAGGTACTGCATACTGCATACGTCAGTAGTATGTAGTAGGCAGTTTTCATTACAGCTATTTGTCATATCACCTATTGTTAATGTCAATATGTTGATTATAGCAGCTTTAAATGTAGGTATTAAAGAATTATGACCATGATATGTACTGAGCGAATTACAAACAAACAGACATGTGTTTTTTGGTGCATAAAGTATGTAATGGTAACGTTTCTAAATTACTTAAAACATAGTCTGACTCACAAGAAGTAGACTGTGGGTGTATGATTTCTTTTTGTGTCAGTTTAATCCACTAAAAAGTTATTAAAACTTAACTGAAATGTTGTTGATAACTATTAAATAAGTTATAAATGATCCTGGCCATTCAAATGAATGCAAAAAAAACATCAATATCATGCATTAAAGACAGACTTTCTCTCAGCACCTTTAACTCTGACTGACTTCCAGTGTCCCTTTATGAGCCTGCCATTGGCACCCATTTGTAAGGGCACTGTTGCCACCCAAAACGATTGTGATTGGTGATATTGATATATATATATCATGTATCGGTTTGAGCTCTAGTATATTTCGGTTTTGGTTTCAGTGAGTTCACAAGATGGTGCAACTTATGAAAAGCAAATTGAGTTATTTCAGTTAGCGTACAGTGGGGGCGGGCTGGCTGGAATTGACTCCAAACAGTTGGTCGAGCTCCTGTTTCCGCCTGTTGTTCCTCTGCTACACAAAAAGCCTCCAAGAAAACGAAATGTATTATTTAGTCCTGGAGCTCATTTATTATGCCAGGCCATATATTGATCCAATAGTGAAAGTAAAGCTGGAGAGGCTGACTGACATTAAGGAGGAGGAGGAGGAGGAGGAGGAGGAGGAGGAGATGAAGGAGATGAAGGTCAAGAAGGAGAAGGAACTGGAAGGACGAGAGAGGGAGAGATGAGTGAACCGATTTTTAGACGGAGGGGAGATAAGGGCTGAGGAGGCGGAGTGTTTCTGTGTGTCTGTGTGTCTGTGTGTTTCTGTGTGTCTGTGTGTGAGCACTACTGGGACTACTGCACTTGATAAAGAGTGAGTGTGTGTATGGTAGCATTCACTGTATGTCAGTAAGCCTGTGTAGCGTTGTTCTCAGGGAAAGATAATTATGTGAGTGATAGGTTATCTGCCACCAGACTACTATAATCATATTAATGCTGCATGAGAGACACACACACACACACACACACACACTCAATCAGTTTGTACTGTAGAGATTCAGTGCAGAAACTACCTCAATGTATGCTCATAAACCTGTCCTGATGTTAGGATTGCAACAAGTAATGACAATTCAGTTAATCCCCGTGAATTCTACGCAACCTTGCAAATTAGAACATTAGATCACTGTAGTTTCATTAATTCATATCAGTCACCCCGTGCAAAACATTGAGCTATATGTCACCAAACTAGCTATTTTATTTTTACTTCGATTTGATCAATTATACTAAAGAAAGTGCTACTATTTTGGGGTAAACACACAGTTAAAGGGCCAGTGTACAGGATTTAGTGGCATCTAGGGGTGAAGTTTGAGATTGCAACTGACTGAAAACCGCTGGTGTCTGTATTTGACCACCTGGGAATGAGAACGGGCTGTGTAGGACAAACTATGGTTTGGTTTGTCCGTTCTGGGCTACTGTAGAAAAATGGTGGTTCTATAGAAAGTGAGCGGTGGTGTCTGTAGATAATAACGTCTCATTCAAAGGTAACGAAAACATAACGATTGAACTTATTCAGGTGATTATACACTAATAAAAACATAACTATGAATATTATATTCCATTTCTCCTAAATGTTACACGCTGGACCTTTAAAAGTGACCTTGGATGTGTAAACAGGTAACTTTATAAAGCCATTACATTTCAGAACTGTGTGTTTTTCAGCTCCTAATAGCCAAAAAGAGTCAATTAATGCAGCTTTAAAATCAATAAGAAAAGTCCTCACACAGCTCAAACTGTTGTTACTTTACTCTTTTTTGCAAAAAGTGACTTCCTTGCTTTTGGTTTTCTATGACGATAGTTTAATAATAAATGGCCCAAAAGTAAATTTAAACTATAACAATTTACTATAAAGTAAAACCCTCAGTTACAGCACATTTACACTCAGCCACTCAGTGTGCCACTTGCCTGAACTCTTCTTCTATAAGGCCAAGAGATCTCTTCAGACAGTTTACACACACACATACACATACATATAGGCACACGCAAAAAGTCACATGATCAGCAGGATTATCCCTCTTGAGTTCATTCTGCATCTCAGCAATAAGATACAAGGTGATATGTGGCCTGCTATCAGTGCTCCAGCACTCACAAAGCCATTATATGGAAATCTTGTGATGAGGATATATTGTTTGCGTGTGTTTGTGTGAGAGAGAGAGTGTGTGTGTGTGTGTGTGTGTGTAGCTGCAGCTGCATCCTAATTGAGATTTATACCCTGTCGTGTTAGCGAAGGAGAAATTCACTTTCAAACAGGCTCTGTCACAGCTGTTGAGCCTGCCTCACTGCCGTATGCTACACAACACGTTTATTCCCCGGAGGCTCAAACTAAAGCGTAACCTTAACAGACATATGCCTAACTTAACCCCTGCCTTCATCTTTAAGACAGAAATAAATCAAGGCAAACTGGGGACACCGATTTTGCCCCCAATTAGACAAACTGCCTCCAATCAGCTGGTTTAACATCCCGACTTGTCTCCAAGAACACACACAGATACCTCTCTCTTGAGTCTTGCTGTCAGCTGATAATTTCTTTCTCATTTCTGCACACACACACACACACACACAGTTTCTGTTCCTAGCGCTGGGATAATCATCCACGTTCTGAATTCTCATATCCTCCCACGCCAGAATCTTTCTGCTCCCGTGAGCAGAAAACCAGAGCACCCCGTCTCCTCTCTTCTCATCTCCGCCTCTTACCCTGCAGTTGTCATGAATCCTCTGTATGTGTGTGTGTGTGTGCGTGTGTGTCTGTGTGTTTGTCACTCAGAGGCTGCCTGCAGGCTAAGCTTTGTAGAGTCTACCATTACGATTTTCTGATGACTGTGAGTGATACAGTGCCAAATGGAAACCCTGTGTGTGCGCGACTAAACCGAAGTACCTGTACAGTCTGTCTGCATGCAGCCATGTTGCTGTTTGTGCTCTTCTGCAGGTATGTGTGTGTGTGTGTGTGTGTGTGGTCATGTTGTTTTAAAAGGTGTGTGTGTGTACTGGTATTTGTGTGCGTATCATCGTTGCAGAGTTTGTGCACAATGTGCACTGTGACAAATAGCTGATCTGTCTGGGAATGTGTGGGCGGGATTCTACTTCAAGAGCATGTCGGAGCAATTAGAGTTGGACTCAACTACTAACACACACATGGTTGCACAAATACACACACATCTGATTTACATGAGCAGAGATGAGCATCCGAGGAGTTTCTGTACAGTCGGATCTCGTGTAAAAGTACGCTCTGTCTTTCAGCTGTTCAGTGCAGGAATGCTCTACAGGTACATCCTGATTTCCCACAGTGTCTTCAGTTGTTTGTTTTTGTGAGACGCACAAAACTTTTGATTCTTTCCCCAGAGAGTCATTCAGTTTAGCTTTTTATGAGAATAAGAAAAGGTTTAAAAATAGCAATAGCTCTGATATAATTATTAACTGCTACATATGATGGACAATTAGGTCTGCTGTTACAGTCTGTGCTCTTAAGCTGTGTTTTTAGCAATGTAAATACCACTGGTAAGGGGTTAGTGAGTTTCGAGTCCTAAACAAGTCCTGATGCACCCTCACCAAACATAATGACATTTTAACAGAAAGAACGAAATCAAATTATCTTCAGTATCATTAGTTCTTTGTGCAGCTTGACGGGATGATGTTAGATTGGTTCAAACAAAGTGGAATTTTGGGGAATTAAGGGGGAATTAAGTGTCGACTTGCTGGGAAGTTGTTAACGTAAGTAGATTCAGAAAATAAAGGGAATTAATGGATTTGTGGCATGCTTTTAAATAAGTAATCTTAGGGCTTGGGGGAAGGTAAATACTAATGTTTTTGGCCTGGTCGTCATTGTAAATGAGAATTGGTTCTCAATTGACTTGAGGGCTCAAGTGAAGATCCAAGTCAAGTTGCAAGTGGTTCACCTGTTGTCATGGTAACCAATGGAAACATTTCTCTAGCATGACTGGCATTGTCCATCTGGTGGATGACAGTAGGTCGATTCAGACGATCATCCGTCCATCTCGTTGTGTGTGTCTGCAGGAGAATCACTGCCGGCGGATAAAGATCCTGGGCGACTGTTACTACTGTGTGTCAGGACTGACCCAACCCAAGGCAGACCACGCCCACTGCTGTGTGGAGATGGGACTGGACATGATTGACACGATCGCGTGAGTCACACACACGTACGCCTTCTCTCTAAGATGCATCAGGGCGCCTACACATCTGTGCAGGTTTCATTTCATCTGCATGAACATTCTTGACCTTAAATTATTACTTTTATTATTATTAATTATTAAGTTCGGCCAAAAGTCGAATGGCTAAATGTTATTTTTAAAGCATGTTTTATCTCATAACCCTTAAATATGAGGTGTAAGGTCACCATTTTGTCCCCATTACAGTTTTTTCACTATACTACAAATAACAAATTTCACCTAATATTCACCAAATATTCTTTAATAAAAGATAAATAGCCAGCGCAAAAAAAGTCTGGTAAATGGTAAAAAACATATACTTACTTATATTTAGACTTTAGACTAATAATGTCATACTTCGAAACTGTTTTCATTCACCAATTATTTCCAATTTCTAATAATGTGCCATTTTTTGATTGCTGTTAAGGTACTGTCACTGGATCTCAAATATTTTTTCACAGATGATTTTTCACACTAAAAGCCTAACAGGAAGTGCTGACTTTACCTGTAACTGAAAATAATTAGTGAATAAAAAAGCATTTATGTTAAAAAGAGAAACTGGTGGAATTAGTGCCGTGGAAATGTACATCAAACTGAATGTAGGAGTTAATGTGGAGATGGAGGCAGGTAGTTGTTTTTCTTGGGAGGCCATTGTGTTTGTTCTTTTGTTTTATTGTGGATCTTTTTGTATATTATGTAAATGTTGTATTTTAATTGATCTCAATGGGGCATCCTTGTAAAATAAAGAAAGTTTAACATGGAGGGAGTTTTGAGCTTACATTAAACAGAATTAGGAATAAAAGCCTGTTTCTATTACAATATTCCAAATAAAGGCCTGGTTCTCTCAGCTATAAAAGGTAAATAAATAAAACTTTAATTTATGACACTTTCGCAACCACAAACACACTTGGTGGCACACATGCATACCTCCACCCCTCCCTTCCACAGATATACACACAGAGAGCCTTTACCTCATTTCTTCGTGCCTGCCACGTTCCCTTTCCCCGCTGCTCTATCTGAGTGGATGGATGCTGCTGTAGGAGTCCTTTATCTCAGAGGACAGGTGCTGCCATACACACTCTTCTCTCCGTCTGTCCGTGTGTGTGTGTGTGTGTGTCTGTGTGTGTGTGTGACACATCACTCCTTCAGCCTGATGGGCAGACCGACCACATTTTCTTTGCCGCCACCCTGTAAACATACACACAAACATCATCTGAAGTGTCTGACCTTTCGCTGGTGACGATGAGCTTTGTGTAGTGATTCACTGGAGAGCAGAGGCTTTGGAGAAGTCCCGCTTTATCTCCTTTGACCACAACACGAGGAAGTGAAGGTGGTCTGAACGGCTACCCGTACATGCATAAATATACACACACAGGTGAACATACACGCAGGCAGTCCAGTTCTCATTTTGAGGGATGTAGTACAGGGTTTTTATGTTTTTTCCTACCACTAAATAGGTCAGAAGGTCAGGTTCACCCACAAGAGTTTTAAAAAAACTACTTACAGAGTGCACATCTCTACCTAGGTGTTGCTAATATGTATATGTATCCTGTTCAGCATCAAAATAAGCAAAGTTAAAACCAATTAAAGTGTAAGAATTATTCTCAATCGCAACAATACTATAGTAGAGGTCTACTAACATGCTCTGTTCGTATGCACAAAGGTGCTTTGAGATACCATCTGCATGCTAACATGCTCACAATAAAGATGCTAACACGCTGATGTTTGAGCAGGTATGATGTTTACCTTGTTTACCAACTTAGTTTAAGAAAGTTTAACAAAGTATTGGACAAATTAAGATTTAAACCTGATTATGGATCACAAAAGTCAGACCGATCGATCCTCTGGGGACCATGAATGTCCATCAATCCAGTATTTGTTGAGATGTTTCAGCATTGGATCTACCGGTACCAGTTAACCCCCCTAAACTAATACTTGTTCTTTGATCCATTGCCTAAATGTTCAAAATGTCCTAAATGTTTTTTGAAATCCGGCTAACAAACACACAGAGGAATGAATCATTACCTCCTTGATGGAGGTTCAATCTTCTCAGTTTTGTTTCAACAGTTTTAGAGATTAACTTTCTCCCCCCATCCCACCCTCCTGCAGGTCGGTGGTGGAGGCGACGGAGGTGGATCTGAACATGCGTGTTGGTCTGCACACAGGGCGGGTGCTGTGCGGCGTGCTGGGCCTCAGGAAATGGCAGTATGACGTCTGGTCAAACGATGTCACACTGGCAAATGTGATGGAGGCCGGAGGGCTGCCTGGGTCAGTGCTGACTGTTACACCCACTCAGACTGGACTCTGAGCGGTCACGGTGCAAACACACACACACACAGTGCACACAGTATCCCAGCAACAGAGATTCAGCTGTATAATGTGTGCATCCAATCACAGCAGTAACCGATAGATAAATGTATTCTTTATGCATATGTATTTTTATAGATTTATTGATAAAACATGATGTATGACAAATCCACTGAAAAGACAACTGACGCTGGCCGTATTATGATACAGCATCTCTATTACGAGTCTTATAATTGGGAGATTTATATCTAACACTTATGAGATCTGTATCTCCTAATTATAAAGATATAAAGTTTTCTCAATTATATATATAGACAATTAGATCCAAATCCAGATGCTTTAATTACAGAGTTAAATATGGTTGTGAACGAGGCAGTAGGGATGTCTTGTTCTTATCATGAAGCATCTTGTAACTGTAAGATATTTTTATGTAATTATGAGACATAGAAGTTAGAATGTAATGTGATTTAATAAAAAAACACGTAAATGAGTCATAACACTGCATTAGCAGGACATATACTTTATTTCTTCATCATGATAAATGTGGAGAGTGTAGTTTATAGAGCCTTATGGACCAATGTTTGAGGCCAATTGAGTTACAATAATCCAAAATCAGTAAATCAAGTATTACATGTCTACTTAAGTTGGCTGCAGAAGCCTTATTAGTTAAAAACGTCTCATTCTAAGGTAACAAAAAGTTCCTATATTCAGGTGATTATACACTAATGAAAACAATACTTCACTGAATTTTTATACATAATCAGATCCTCCTAAATGTTACACCCAGAAGGATAGAGGGTGATATAATATTTCTACATACCAAGCAGCTAAATTTGGTAGCCAAAGGAAATTTTTGGTGGCCCAATTGTAAACGTATGTAAAAATAAGCAGAGGCTAGTTTAGGCACACACCGCAGTACTTCCTTAGATGTGTCATATTCTCTGTCTGTGTCTATGTCTCATATATATATAAGGTTTGGCTGCACATTAGCATGAATTAATTGTTGGTCCTTTAATGCAATTTCTTAATAACAGTAAAAAGGATCAAATATAACACTATCCTTTAAGAAGTCACCTTATCTCAAATTCTGTCTTAAAAAGTTAGTTGGATTTAATTATTTTGTTTTGATGCAGTTTCGTGGATTTACTTAAAAAAAGGACAGTAACAGCAGCTTGGAATAAGGCCGAACCCGAGTTTTAAATTGATGTCACTTTATTCAAGAAAACTCATATACAGTAACAAGCTGATTTGCAGTTAAAAAGCAGTGAAATGAGGTCACCTCCTTGGCTCAATTTGGTCTTGTTTCAAGTGAAGTAATAAGATTTTAGAACTCGTTACCAGATTGAATGAGTCGTTAGGATGAAAATTTCGTTGCTGTGAAGAATTTAGAGCGAGCCGAGGGGCTATTAGGCCGATAAAAATAATGAGGGGGATAATGATTTGAGACCTTAGCGCCTTTTATCACTAACTGCCTTGCGTCCTCTGCTCTGCTTGTGCTCTCAGCAAGGTGCACATCACAAGGACCACCCTGGAGTGTTTGAACGGAGACTACGAGGTGGAACCGGGCTTCGGCCACGAGAGACATGCCTTCCTTCAGAAACATCACATAGAGACATATTTCATCGTTCCATCACACAGACGCAAAGTACGTCAGAATAGTTTCTCTTCTGCATTTTCCTCTCTCTCTCTCTCTCTCGTCTCTCTCTCTCTTTCTCTCTCACCAGCGTGCAACTCAAGAGGTGACACATCTATCAGCGTTATAATAGTTAATCCTCCGGGTTGCCGAGAGGGAGGTAGGCCATGTGTTAAGCTGGCATACACACGGCTAGTATCACTATCTCGCATCAACTGTACATATGAACCAGAGTGTATGTCTGCTCTTTAAATCCGCAGCTAAAAGCTTGCGCACTGTGTTTGTGTGAGCATGAACAAACACACACACATAAACTCTTCACATATCCGTGTTTTCTAACGTTACTGTAAAAATCCCACTCAGGCTCAAGCCTACTTCCTTTCCATGAATGAAACAATTCTCCAAAGTCTTTTAAGGGATGTCGTCCTTGTCCTCCTCATTCTTGACAGGTTTATTATTCAAGAAACTGGATTTTGGTCCTCAGAATAATAAACTGAAAGATTGTAGGTAAAAAGAGATTAGAAATGAGTTTTAAAGTTTCATTTTAGAACATAACTGCATATATTGAATTATCTGGAAGGCTTCAGAGAGTGGAAATTAATCTCATTTAGCACCACAAAAGAACAAAAATGTCCACTTGTCCAACCTCATTAGTTCATAAAGTAAAGAACAAACGTTAAAGTACAATAAAGTTATAATAATAATAATAATAATAATAATAATAATAATAATAATAATAATACTGATTCATCTTCTTTAAATATTTTAATTGGTGTGTTTTTATTAGTTATACACATTTCTGACCAGTTTTAACCAACCATTTTTTAGATGTATTAAGTTTTAGTATGATTTGTTGGCTTTATTAGATAAAAAACAAACTCTCTCCTGATTGGAGAAACTGGGAACGGGACACCAGAAAATATATTCTTTATTGTCTGCAGAAGAGAGGAGACTGGAAGAGCCATGTTGCTGACTGACAGTGATGGCAGTCAGAGTGCGGAGCTGTTTAACACTTTCTTTAACTAATTTAGAAAGATGAAGAAAGAACAGCCTGTTTGTAGTTTTCAGCCTCAAATATACTATAACTGTTTGAATGATCTGTTACATTTACAGTATATCAGGAGCAGAATTTATGTACCTCTCAGTAGCCTCTAGTTCTTCCTCTCTTTACTGTTCATCTCATTCTCTTTTGTCCTCACTTCCAGATCTTTCCAGGTCTCATTCTGTCAGACATCAAACCAGCCAAGAGGATGAAGTTCAAGACAGTGTGCTACCTGCTGGTGCAGCTGATGCACTGTCGGAAGATGTTCAAGGCCGAGATCCCCTTCTCCAACGTCATGAACTGTGAGGACGACGACAAGGTGCTGAACATGTGTGAAATAATAATGTCGACATGCATGTGTGTACCACTACTGTACAGAATCAGTATGAATATTTCCGGGTTAGCTAATAGGAAAAATCCTTTTAGTGGGTTTGTAAATGTCCATTTGTGATGGAGTGAAATCCTGCTTGGATTCATAATCGGCCACACACACACACACACACATATACACACACAGGCACTATAATCTGGATTTCTAGATTTCGCAGCATCATAAGTCCTACAGTACAGTGCATTACAACTACTTGTTGAAAAGTAAGCCTGTGGAATAGATATTATGAGCAACTTGTGACACAAACTCACTGCTCTTAAGCTCTCTCAGTGTGTGTCTACACATGTGGATACTGTATGTGTTGACGTGTGTGTAACATGAATTTGAGCTTGTTCACCTTTGTTCTCGTTATTTTAAATCGTTGTGACGCAGCGGTGAGTCAGTCACAGTGCTGCCGGTTCGTTACGAGGTCGGGCGGCTGGGCTGGCGGTCAGATGGCGTTTGCTGATTGATGATTGGTATAGTGACATCACAGGGTCTAGCTGTCAGAAATAGCCTGCTGGCGGTAATCTGCCCGACTGTGTGAGCTCCGACCGGGCATTAGTACTTCATGATTCTGATGAGGTTGCATTATGACTGCTGGTAATCACCCGCAGCCTGGTATCATCTCCTCTAATAGCATTAGCCACATTGTTACATGATTATCCAAGGTGCCAAAATCCTAGCATTGTGACATAGTTTTTATATTTTATAATGGAATTATGACACTGCAAATAGTCAGTGCTGCTACTTTCTAGTGAATGCAGGTGCTTGTGGTGTAAATATAGAAAGTGACGGTCAAAATAAACCTGTTTCCATAGGAGGAAAAACAGTTTGATGTACAGTGAGTGGTAAAGTTCAATCAGGAAGCTTCTGGATGGAGAGCTTAAATTTCTCTTAGCACCTTAGCATCATTTGTGCAAATTAATTATTGTGTTTGAGTCCTATCTGTTGCCCTTTGCTACGTCTCTCTCCACCTCTCCTGTCTATCTTGAGCTGTCCTTTATATAAAAAGAAAAAAAGGTCCAAAAATAATTAATAAGCTCAAATATCAACATTGAGGTGAAAGTGTCTCTTGTACAAATGAGCTTGTTTCAGGACGTGAAACAAAAGTGCTGCAATCAACTTTGTCTTGTTTCAAAATATTAATTATAATAATAAACTTTATTTATATTTATGAAGTGCTTTACAGGGTAAAAACAACACAAACAACAGGAATCATGGAGGTTTTAATCATAAACACACTAAAAGCGATAGCATTATCTTCAATAAACAATATATACAGTAGAATACGCAGTACGCATCAAACACTGTAAAACACAATAAATAAAAATGAGAGATAAAACCGTAGTGTATAAAGTTAAGATAGAAGGAAAGACTATATTATATTAGATTAAATTATATTACATTATATTATATAGAGACTGAATTGTACAGAATTCCTGAAACAAGGGAAATGACACCAAAATTTCATTACATTACTTGTTAAGATGAATGTAGCGTAGCATAGGAGCAGAATTATATTACAAACTTTATGTTACTACCAGTGAGACTGGATGATTAAAAGAGAGAGTGACTGTTTTTAATCTTATTTTGTAGAGGCAGGTGTAAATTTGAGGAATACTATTTATAATACTGCAGTGTAGCTGTAAAACTGAACTGACTGACAACCTGTCTAATTATACAGTTCAGACTGTATAATGGCTACAAATCTGAATGTACAGTTTGTTGCAGGGATAATTCTGGTTATTTCCAATTTGGGAAATCTTATTAGTTTATGAGAGACATCATGAACAGCATCTCCCCTGCAGGACCTATGCAAACATCCATCAAACCCAGAAAGCAATTACTGTAAAACACACTTTCTGCCTGTGTTCTGATTAACTGCTGCCTCAAACTTCAGTGTGCCATGGCATTAATATTACATTAACTAGCAGCCGGCAAATAGAAGCTATACCATCAGACGGTAAAGTAGACTTCACTTCACCACCAACAGGTCAAACTGTACACTCAAGTTCATAAGATAGATATAAAATTGCTGAATTCATGTGAGCTTTATTTGTAGTTTTAGCATATTATATGTGTATATATATATATATATATATACCCCCCTTTATAAATCAGAGAAAATCAGATAAAACTGTTTTTATTGTGTAATACAACATTCAAGCTGCTGTAATGCATTATTGATAGAAATGTACAGTTATTTTACCAGATGAAATACATTATACTGAGATCCAACCTTTTCAGATGTTTTTCTGAATAAACATATGGTAGATATTGATTGTAGTGATGGAAGTAGCTTGTTCCAAAGAGATGGTCGTCTGTATTTCAATGAATATTGATTAAGGGAAGAACGAAAATATGGATGATGAAAATCATTAGGATTTAGGATTTAGGATTTAGGATCCTGTCTGAGGATTGTGTAAAGAAAAGTGTGATATATGTTCACATTAAAAACTGATAGAAGTTTGTGTTTTCTGAAGGGAGGAGTAGATGAGTCACATCTTTTAGCGCAGATAATTCAATTTCTTTTGGATTAGCAAAATCTTATTGAGACGAGTGGGACATGTGGCGGCCCAAACTGTATTACAATACATAATATGAGGACAAAGAGACAAAGTGCAGCTTATTTAAAAAGCAACCCAGAATAAGTTAAGTTAAATATACTCACATACTGTCCACAAATAATGTCCACAAATAATGTAAAAAGGGTGCTGAAGCTAGCATTTTTAGCATGCTTCTGTTGTCCTGGCAGTCACTGCATCCATCTCACGTTGCTGTTCGTATTCTTTCACTACGTAGTTACCAATAAACAATCAATACTTCTTTAAGGATGTCATCTCTGTCAGAATGGCAGGAGATGTTAAAATGAGTTTTGCTGTTTTGCAGGTGAACATTAGTTGATTTGTACTGGCTTCAATCAGTGACTGAGCCCTCATTGGCTTTTACCATAACGAACACAGGTGTATCTGATAACATTAATCATGAATAAATTGTGTTTCGGTTAACCAATCCCAGGGCTCTGCTAATGTTTATGCTGGCTCTCTGGGACACTTAAATGAAACAGAACCATTATTAATGTTATTAATTACGCCTGGGCTTTTGCAGTGTCAGCTGTGAAAAACAGTCAGATGATGTACCGATTATAAATTGTAGATAAATTATAATGCATCTACAATTAGGACCTTTGTATCCTCTTCCAACCAGAAAAATGTTGTCCATGTGCTAATATCCTAACTTGATTATAGCAACATTGAAATCTCCCAGACTCACATTTCCCATCCGAGCTGTGCAGATGTAAGAAATGACATCGTACACACGTTCTTGCCTCCGTGCACCTCTATGTATCCTCTGATCATGGATTGTATGCATTTACCTCAAATACATTTAAAGATGCACATTTAGAGCATCAGCAGCCAAAACAATGGGACAGAAACAAAACAAAACTCACCAAAGCTGTCTTTTCAGAGTCTTTCCAACAATCATCAACATTGGTTTGGTCAAATAAACCCTAAATTATCTGAGTTAGATGAAAAAATATTCTTATAAAGGGCTGCAATGGTAACGTTAATCTTTGGGGACAAATGTGCTGTCAGAATCTGTCCTTTAAAGTTCCTGTAGTTGCCACTGATCAGATTGTTATTCTCAGTGTCTGACAGCATTATGGAAAGGACCCCTACAAAGATAGACCTTTAGTTTAACCAGAGACAGCCTTAATATCACTATCACTCTCCCCACCAGACTCCAGAGACAAAAACAGTAATAGTAGTGTATCTCCACAGATTCATCGTAACCTTCATTCAAAGTAGACAGTAAACCTTTGTTAGTCTTTCCACCTGTTCCAATAACCATAAACTCTTAATTCACCGATGTAAAATAATTATAAAACAGCCAGTTTCAGTCAGCAGCAGACGCGCTATGGAAAAAACCACAAGAGAGCTGCGATACAATTGTTTGCTGCCATATTAATGTTTTAAATCTCATATATATAATAATACCTTTATGGTACACGTGTGCATCGACAAACTTGTTTTAGATAACAATTTTTGCTACTAACTCTCAGCCAAATTTAACATTTGTGGTAACGAGGCATAAAGTTTTCTGTCTGTAATTCATTAAACAATTAAGTTTTAAGGTGTATAATGACAGCTGCAGCCTCACAGGGCCAGGATGTAGACTTTGTGCATCTTGTTTCCACTGATGTTCATAATCTTAGAACAAAATCTTGCAATGCTAAATGCTGAAATCACAACTCTCTGCATTGGTACGGTTTAACATCAGTTGGGAACCAGTGGACTTTAACACATCAGACAGGCTGACCTCTGCAGAGACTGATTGTGTTGTCTTTTTTTTTGCCGTCTCGACAGCGGAGAGCCCTGCGAACCGCGACGGAGAAGCTGAGGAATCGGACATCCTTTTCAGCCCCAGCCGTGCAGCAGTCGCCGGGAACACGAGTCAACCGCTACATCGGGCGGCTCATCGAGGCGCGGCAGACCGAGTCCGAGACATCAGACCTCAACTACATCACCCTGTTCTACAGGAGCAGAGACAGGGAGCGTAGGGTGAGGACACACACACACACACACACACAGGAGCCAGAAACTTGTGTTTATATTTACCAAAGGACACAAAATGTAACAAATATATACTTTTCCTCATTACACATAAGGTGACCTGCTTCGTGACTGCATCTTCTCCCTCCCCTCTGTCTTATTCTCTCACATACACACCCTACACAGTCTCTAATTCTCTTTCTCCCCTTTCTCCCTCTCTCCCACGCCTGTTGTCTATGATGTTGTGTGTGTGTGTGTGTGTGTGTGTGTATGAGGAATCCACCCACCCTCCCAGGAGGGGGTGCAGATAATGATTTAGGAACGTCTGAGCGCCACACGTGATATCTTTCTCCTATGTGTGCGTGGGTAGAGCCATAAAGGAGGAGACACAGAACAGGGACTGGTTTGTGTGTGTGTGTCAGTGTCTGTGTGCAATCTAGATATCCAAACTATTAGCAGAAGAATTAAAACCCTGTACACAGTAAAAGTAATTAATTATTATTCATTTTAACATATTGAGAAGTCAGGAAAATGCCACCAACAGGGGAAAAAATGAAGAGACAAATTGGTATAAAGTGTTTATTTACTCCCACACAGCTACAGTAAAAAGATTTCCTTCATAGGATGCTTGTAGAGTTCAGGACGCTGCTGTTGTTCCAGAAGTTTAGCTCTTCTTTGCTTCAAGATGAGTGAACCTGAAGAATCGAGATTCATTTAATGTCATTTACTCAGAATAAAAATCTTTTATCTAATGCAGTAATACAGAATACCATGTGGCAAGTTCTGAACTCATGCAACATAAATACAACAAACTTAATGTCATGTATTGTCCAGTGCAGCGCAGTTTGGTCCCGCTGACTTTATCCTTTCTCATTTTCTCAGGGAGGTCAGTCGGTAGTTGGCTTGGTTGGTCCGTTGGCTCGACTGTTGGTCCGTAAAATATTTTGACAGCCAATGGATGGATTTGTCTCATTTAGGAAGACCCATCTCATCTCTTCTTTTTAGCGCTGTGCCGGTGCTGGAGAAAGGTTTCAACCTGACTTCGCCAGACGGTTTGTTACAGAACCATCTGGGAAGTCGTCATTGGAAACTGTTTGGAAAAGAGCAGGCACTTTCAAAAAAGACTCAGCAGGTGACTGGATGGACCATCTGTCTATTTCCAACAATCAGATTAATGTAGTCAAAACTTTTACCGGAGCCAGTAGCCAGGGCTAAGAAAAAATAAAAACGCTCTAGTTCAGATGTAACTAATGCCAGCCTCTATGGGAACCACCATGTGTGCTGCGTCACACCTAGCACCCACCCCTGTAACTATCAGTACTTCCTCAAAGGACGCTGACTGGTGCGGTACTCTTGTAGTCTGGCCACAAGTTCAACTGACCTCGTAAGGTTAGAAAGGTTTGGCTGAATCCATTATCACTCTGCTATAGGGTAGAACAAAATCTTTTATTTGTTTAATAAATCGTCTTGGGCAAGTGCTAAGCTCAGGAAGCAGCGACGGTGCGACGTTGTCCTTACAAAATAGTTTTGAGGAAGACTTGTTTTGGTGGAGCATTTGCACGTGGCGAGCCCTGGCAATAAAATGGCTAAATCCAGAAAATCACAGAAAAACCAAGCCACCCTGCCATTTTCAGTGCATAGGTTGACTACATGGCTCTGAAAACAGTAACATACAGATAGACTCGACCAATGGCTAGATGGATTGATTTGCAACGAAACGATGAAACAAAGACATTCATGGTTAATTTTACAACATTTCATGTTTCATAAGTTCATGTCAAGATTACTGCACAGCTTTTCTTACCTTTGTGATCAGTGCCTTTAATCTGGGACGATGACAGTTGATTCAGGATTGGAGGGTTCCCATCCTTCTATCCCTTTGGTTAGCTACTTAAGTGAGTCATTGCCCCAAGCGAAAGAGTTAAGTATCTCTCGGTTTTGTTCACAAGGCTAAGATGAAGTGTGAGAACAGCAGGTGGAATTTGGTCCCTCGGGTGGGTTATGCTTGAGGCTGAGGCTGAACTTGAAGCTTTTTCATCTGTGTTTCATGATATTTGACATCATGGATGCAAGCAGGTGAAATTAACTTACTTTGTGGAATATCTAAGCTGAGGGGTTTTAGGGGGAATGGTAAGGGATAAGGAGATGGTCAGAGTGAACTGCTGCTTCTACACAGCTGAGGGTGCCAGTTCAGGTTTATCGGGCATCTTTGGAGGTATTCTGGACATGTCAAACTGTAAGGACACCCAAACCCAGGACATTCTGGAAGGATTCTGTATCCCAACAAGTTCGGTCTTTTACAAACACACAGGCTTGCATAGTTGGTTGCTTTAGGGAGACAATAAAGATGTTATGGACTATCTTTCCATTTTCCCTGCAGTGAAACAGTCAGCATATTTGGTAGTTCAATTCAGTGGTACAAAACCAAGGTAGTAGCTTCTGTAGCTAAGGTTGCTATTATGGTTCTCCTTAGATTAATGAAAATGTCTCTGTAGGTCTACACACAGAGAACGGTGGTATGGGTAACATCACATGTATCACAGCGTTTTGCAGAGGAGCTGACGTGCATACCTCCAAAATCTCCACCACGATGTTTGTGGAGCTGAGTGTCAAAGAAGATGATTATTTGATCTGACTGCTGATAGTAATTGTGTTCGAAATGGAAAACACACTGAAATGTTATTCACCAAAATTCGTGCAAATATAAAAGAAAGTATCACACCAGCTGTGACGCCTGTCAACGTGCGTCTTGCACAGTGCGACGCTATAGCATTGACAGAATCTGCCCACAGACGAGCAGACATACATCTGAACACCTGGCAAAGTGCTTAAAACCACTTCTCTGGTAGTTCTCACTACACTAGGTTGGTCCAGGACCACATTTTGCCACGATGTTACACACAGAGTTTCAAGGTGTAGACAATACCAGGCCTTGCTGTCACATCACAACCTTGCAACTGTTTTCCATGCATATTTACTGCAGCCAGACTGTTCAAGTCTTAATGCAAATGCTTAAGAGAGCTCAACCAGCACCTACACTCAAAATAATGGTCTTACACAATGTCACACCTGTGCGTCTGGTGTGAAAGCAGGGTGAGCATCTCTTACCTGCTCCTAAGCTCAGATAAAGATCTGGAAGGATAGATGAATGCCTCCTATGTTGACATTTTCTCTCTGCTTTGTCCTTTCTTAGTATCACCAGGTGTATGACGACCATTTCATCAGTGCGGTGGTTCTCTCCCTGATCCTCGCTGCTCTCTTTGGCCTTATCTATTTGCTAATGATCCCACAGTATGTACACACACACACACTCTTCCACATTTGCAGCTTGTCCATTCGTGTTACGTAATTGGATGGATCTTGCTAGGGTGTAGTGAGACAATTAGAGAGGAAGGTGTTTTCACTGCAGTCAGTGGAAAACTGGGGAAGCCCTTCTCACTCAGATCTCTCCGCTCTCCTCTCAGGGGGATGCTGGTGCTGCTGCTGCTGGTGCTGTGTGTGTGTTTCCACGTGGCCTGTGTCATGTACCTGCATCTCACCAGTGTTCAGGTAGGACTCCCAGACCTCCTCCTACAGGATTGGGCTCAGAAACCTGACTCCTCTGCATAGAGGGTATGCAGTGATGCTACTTTTTCACATGATACACCCCTCTTTGACACAGCTGAGTGGTAAAACAGAGCATCAGGTGGCTGCTCTGAATGATTAGAGCTGTAATCCTGGAAAGAAAACAAATTAATATTTTGAAAACAAATGGGACTCTACAATGATTTGCATGATGTAGTGGACAGTCAATGCATGAATGGTGGACGTTGACATGTTTCCTTGCACATAAATGAGTATTGCAGTAAGACATCATTACCCTAGGGCTGCAACTAATGTTAATTTTCTTTATTGATTAATGTACC